ATGAACAAGGCTAAGATACTGGCAGTCCATGCAACCACTTGCTCCAGTTCCATGTGTTGCATTGCAGGTATTTCAAGCTACAGTCAGTCAAAAATGACTGCTGTTGTAAAGTGCCAAAGAAAATATTCTATCTGTTTGAATGAAAGGTGGAATTAACAATGAAACAAGGAGAAAGCAGCATCTCGGAGGATTTGGTTTGTCATGAACCTCTTTCTGGCCAAATTTGCATGGAGATTGTCTCATTCCTCAGAAATCACCTATTGGCTATAGACTAATAGGTAAAAGCATACTGGACTAAAAGCTTTGTGTTCTTCTTTCCATAACTTGTCTTAAATAAAACTGCATCTGATAACTATGAAATTAAGCATCAGAATCTTAAGTACAGAAACTGTTAAGAGAAATACCTTTTTGCTAAGTTTCTTTGGGTTATGCTCTTATGTATGACTATAGAAGAATGAGGAGAAGGAAGAAAGGAAGTGATAGCTGTTCTGGAACTCAAGTAGCTCGACAAATAAAGGAGAAGTTACTTTCTTCAGCTGGAGCAATTAAACTCAGTGAGCTGTCACAGTGGTGCTTGCTAGATGTGACATAAACATCTGCTATTTACAAGTTTTGCTATTTCATATCTCTCATTTAGAGATTCCCATGGAGTTAGACCAAACAGAAATGTTTAGTGAGCCACTTGCTGAATTGGAGATATTTTGCTCAAGTGTTGATAGCTGTCAAAATGAAAATAGTTTCCAGTACTCAGTTGTATCCTTTCACTGGTTAGATGCTGCTCCCAATCTGGCAAATAGGATACTGAAGCTACTGGTACTGTAGAAGTTAGAAGAAAAAGTCTTAAAACTGTTAAAATGTGATATTTAACATAGCCTACTTATTTATCTCATCTATGTGGTTGTTCATTCCACCTTAGACCATCTCCACATACTTGATGGTGTAGCCAGTAGGGGAAATAATGATCATAGTTGGATTTCTACAGATTGAGAAGGCCGTTTTGTTTAATTTTGTTTAATATAAATGCGTGAAGAATCTTGTTGAAGAAAACTCATCTTTCTTTAAATAGTTAACTTTATTGCAATATATCTTGTATAATACAGCTTATTTTCTGCTGATCCTCAAGCCTTTTAAGCTTTCGCAGAGGAGATGGACTAGCCACAGCTGCAGTTAGGTTGCTGTAGTAAGTCAGTGCTAAGAGCCCAAGTGCTGTTTGAACCATGAGGTTATGCCAGTGACAACCTCATGTTTCTTGGTTATTCAGCCTCTTCGTTTCCCGTCTCTCTGAGTTCAGTCATGATGCGAATCTAGATTTCTGAAACTCTAAAGTTTGAAAAAAGGGATTCAAAGGACACTTCAGCTATAGGAATATGCTATTGCAGGAGACATGGACCCTTTGTTTGCTAGAGGCTGGCCTTTCTAGGGTAGTGGGTTTTTAAGACAGAAAAAAAAAAAGTATAGTTTAGGAAAATATACTACTCATACTTTCCATAGGAAAGGCTGTTTTCAGATTTCCCTCTGTTGCTGTTGGCTATCATTCATTTTGCTACTTCTGTGCTTTGCATCTATTGACAGTCCCTAGGCTGTGCAACAGGATACTTGATGCTTTAAAAGTTCTTGTTATTGCTGCTATCATCTGTATCCTTCTGCTTTAGTAGCCCAAGGTTGATTTTTACTGTCTCAAACATTATTTTAAAAAAAAAGGCAACAGCTATTTATATTTATCGGTTCAGTTTTGTTTTTAAACCACTCTAGTTTTCTGGATAGTTTTAGAAATACCTTGGCAAGAAGTCAACAATTCAAGGCTTGCCTCACTGCTTGTGTTGCTTCAGAGAAGCTATAAACCCGTTTGTTAGGATCTTCCATACTTTATTGCTGGCAGAAGGTAAAGATTTTCCTGCTTCACCTATTGCAGTAGTCTGCAAATTATTTTACTTTCAAAATTTTATGCAAGGGCTGTGGAGGGAAAAGTTTTTCTGAGTTTGTGGATCATTGGATAAAACTTTCCTCTTTTTGAAATTAAATATAAGAAAAAGTAACTAACATTTCCTTTATAGAGTTTTCTGTTCATTTTGAGCTTTTTCAGCAACAATATCTTTCGCCTTTTAGGAATGCTTCTCTTCAAAAATGAATAGTGAAATTCCTAGTGAAATGAAACCTAAATCAGGATTTCTTGCTGTCCTTAGAAGGCAAGGCCAAGAGTAGTAGTTGCTGTAGCTCGAGTTCTTAGCCCCTCGCTCAGGGTGAGGGAGGTTGCATAGAGCAGTGTAAGGAAGCCAAGACAGAGATGACATTTGGGCAGATTGAGAAATTTTCAGTAACTAATTCTGCCTAATGAGGTTGCTGTTCTAGTGACATCTACTCACTGAAGAATAGAACGGAGGGAAAAGTGTTTTTAGGCCTGTACTCGATTTCTCTTGAACAGGGAGAATACGTAGAGAACAAGCAGTAGAAAATAGAATGAAGCGAGTACACTCATCCTGTCAGTAGGACTGATTCCATATAAAAAACACTAAATTAAAAAGTGGCTGAATCCACTTCACATGACCGTTGCTAGACTGAGCTTACCTATATTCAAGCCGAAAGATTGGGATTACAAGGTGCACATCAAAATGTTCCATGCCTGCTTAGATACCCACCTTGAAACTTTCAGGACATCTGTTTTTTGGGAGAAGTTTTAATCATTTTGAATATTCTGAAGGCTTTAGTTTTCTATAGAAAGCTTCTATTTTCTGCAGAATGACTTGCACAATCTTTGTGGTTTGCCTGAAAGATTTCACTATACCATTTTTTTTGCCTGAACCAGAATACTAGCTCCCTAAATATACAGAAGTCCAGGGCAGTCCTAAGAACTGTACTGAGTCTGTTCAGCTGTTTTTTTCTGTATAGATCACTGAGCAGCTTTGGGATGTTGTACTGTCTGCTTCTTTGGTTGTTGACAGACTAGTAACTTAAAAGTAAAAGGTTCATCCAGTTTCTTAATTCTCAGAGCCCTCTCTCTAGAGGAGGAAAAAGAATGATGAATGAGTTGGGATGGGACAAATCTGGATTTGATTTTTTGGCCATTTCATACACAGAATCCCAGAATGGTTAAGGTTGGAAGGGACCTCTAGAGATCAGCTAGTCCAACCCCCCTGCTCCAGCAGGGACACCCACAGCACGTGGCACAGGGTGGCATCCAGGCGGGTTTGGAAGATCTCCAGAGAAGGAGACTCCACAACCTCTCTGGGCAGCCTGTTCCAGGGCTCTGTCACCCTCACAGGAAAGGAGTTCTTCCTCACATGGAGGTGGAACTGCCTGGGTTTCAATTTATACTCATTACCCCTTGTCCTGTCACTGACCACCACCGAGAAGAGTTTGGCCCCATCCTCTTTACATTCTCCCCTCAGGTATTTATAACTTTGAAGGTGCTTTTCCCTAATATAGAAGGCAGTAACCTTCAGAAGCCGACAACTTGTTATTGACTCTGAGCATCTGTGCACGCATTTCCAGTGTGTTATTTTTTTGTGCCTATGTATACTTTTTCTTTCTTTTTTGCTTCATCTAGTTTGACACTGTAATTGCAGAAGCGGCCAGCTTGACGTCCGGGAGCTGATCTCTCTCTACCCCTTCCTGTTGCCTCCTTCCTCTTCATTTATACGGTCTCATCCCCCTCTGCACGAGTACGCGGACCTAAACCAGCTGACCCAAGGCGACCAGGAGAAGATGACCAAGTGCAAACGATTCCTCATGAGCTACTTAAACGAAGTCCGCAGCACTGACGTTGCTAATGGCTACAAGGAGGACATTGACACGGCTTTGCTGAAGCTGTATGCAGAGGCAAATCACGAAAGCCTTCTGGACCTGCTGGTTTCTGAGAATTTTTGCCTTTTAACAGATAGTGCTGTCTGGCTGGAAAAACACAAAAAGTGAGTGAATTTTACTGCAGTTTTGAGATGAGAGGGGGGAAAAATGTTGTTGCTTCACTAGTCAGTAGCATTTAAGCTTAAATCCCTGTTTTGTGGTTTCTCTGTTGGGTCCAAAAGATGATTTGACTTGTTGGAACTACCCAGAGGTAAAGAATTGTCTGCCAGTCATTAAGCAGGGAATGCTAGAAAATAAATGTGTTAAATATGAGCTCCAGTCATATCTAGTATCCCAATAGCTCTGTGTGGGATCTAGTTTCCTCATCTTTAAGCTGTGCACTACGCTGTTAGTGACTACAGTGGTGGAGGTCCTAATTGTGATTAGGCTTAAAGTAGTTTCAGTAGTTTTGCAGAATTCTCCTGGCACATTTACTTCGCGTGGCAAACTTTGTAGTAAATGTGAACGGCAAAACATCATTTCACGAGATAACCATTCTAGAGCTTAAACATTCTACTATACAAAGAACTCTGTAATGGCATCCTAGAAAGCAATTCCTTGTGTGACTCTCTCATTTGAGTACATCAAAAAGTTTTTCTTTTTATTCTAAATCACTTTTATGATATTTTTAGATAGCTGATTATCTGCTGAAATAATATTTGGTTTTGGGAGCAGTACCTAAAATACAAAGAATAGAATGGGGGGTGTGTGTTTGTTTTTTAATTTGACACATACAAAGTCAAGGTTTGAGATACTAATTGTAGTCTCCTTTTAGAGAAAGGAGGGTCAGATGGATCACTTGTAGGACAAGACTTTTCTCTTTTGATCGTAAAAATCGTAACAATGAGGCTGCAGTTGCTTGTTCAAATGTGGACCTAAGAATTTACACATCACCTAAAAATCCCACCATAACCAACTATTTGTTATAATGCCTGCTATTTGAACCGTAATGAAATTGGTAGAAAGGATCTACAGACTTTAATATTACTACTTTTTTCTTCTATACAGGTATTTTGCCCTTGGTCTCCTGTATCATTACAATGGTCAGGATGCTGCAGCACTTCAGGTTAGAATAAAGCTTTTAGTGTTGTCTGTGAATTGAACCAAAGTATCAGGTTACCCCTCTGAGATTAAAATCTCTGAAGTGCAGATTTTCTTTGCTTGAAAGTTGCAGGAGAGAGAAACTTGAATAAATTGATATTTTACATGCAAAAAATGAAGAATTTGAAGTACATAACAGCTAGTCAGATGCCTTTATGCTATTTTTTTAGGTAGAATTCTGCATCCCTGAACATATGTTTGTACTTTTTAAAAGATGTACAGAAGCACTAAAATAACCCAAAGACCCTTTAAGGTGGTTTTGGAAGGGGCATGAGGGCGTATCCTATGCCAATTGATCTGGACACACAGCATCAGTAGCAAAGTATCATGGCAGACAATGATAGCAGTTGGGAGTTGTGTCCTTTCTGTGGCTCGGCTGCACTTGGTTCACAATTTGTGGGTTTCAGCTGGCTCTGTAGCCCTTTTGGGGTTCCCCCCTCCCCTTGTCATTAGTCACTCAGACCAGCAGTGGTTGGTAGACTGCCAATTAAATAACTATTAGTCATGTCTGTAAAGCTCAGTGTGTAAAAATGATTTTTTTTCTGATCATATATATTCTGATTATCTGAACAGCATATATCGAATACATAAAATATGCAAAACCTGTAGCAGTTTTCATTACTGCATGACTTTGAGAATATGGTTATCATCATGACTCTGTTAAATGCATTCAGGTCCCTTTGTAAGGAAGCAGAAACTTCCTGGGTAGAAACAAAAGGCAGTAAGAAAACAAAGGCAGTGAGGTGGGGCAGCAGGGGAGTTCTCCTTTGCCACATGTGTCTGGCTTTGTTTCAGGAATCTGTGTTTATTGCTGACCTGATCTGTTAAGTGTAGCATTTTTAAATTCCATTTATGGTTAATATAAAAATATATACTTATAGTGCTTCTAAGTTTTGCACTTTAGTTTTGACTGAAGAATTTTATGCTTAGTCTAAATTGGCATCATTTAAGTTTGTGCACTTGAAAAACAGATTTAAAATAGGCCCCACATGGAAGGAATTTTATCAAAAGCTCTCTCTGCAGTGGTTGTACCTCTTCTAAGTGCTCTGGCAGTTGTTTTCAGTGTGAGAACGCAGTGAGGTGGGTTTGGAATGTCACGAATATACATGGCATATACAAGAAAAGCCTTTAACACAGGAGTGGTGCAAATTTAATGACCAGTGAGATTCCTGACAATCTGCTTTCCTTGAAGCTCTTTCTAATTCCACAAGTACCTATGGCTGATACTAGGTATAGTGGTAGTGTGTGTAAATTCTGAGCTGGAAGACTGAGTCCATGTTTTAGGCACGATATCTATGTAACTCTAATCTCTGTGCATTTTTGTTGCAGTTATGGGTGAAAATAGTTAATGGAGACATTCAAGACTCTACACGGTCAGATCTCTATGAATACGTAGTGGACTTCCTCACGTTCTGCTCGGACCACGATCTCGTGTGGAAGTACTCTGAGTGGGTTTTACAGAAAAACGAAGAGGTACTGCTTTCTTTTCAGAATATCACAAATAGAAGATAAGGCCTCCGAGACAGTTTGGGTATTGAGTAACGTTTGTATAGCTAGTCAGACTAGTTGCTAGCTAGTCAGACCATTCTGAAGAAAATTTAATAACTCTTAAATGATGACTGACAAAAGCAAACTGCCAGGGTGCTTCATTCTTTTTAAATCCCTCTTAGCCACCTGTCCTGTTGGTAATTGTCCCTTTTTCTTCTGAAAACACTTGATCTTTCTGAGCAATGAAAGATACAGCATGTCTTCGTATTAATCCCACTTTTTAGAGTTTAGAAAAAAGAAAAAGGTTATCCTAATGGGTTACAGTGCTGCTGCTAAAATCATCTTATCAGGATTTTGGTAAATGTAGTATCCCTGTAAATAGGCAATGACGTAGCTGGAATGACCTTTGTTCAGGAAAGTCCTTTTAATTACAAGAATTAGTATAATTCCACCAAAATTAAAAATATAATTTTGTAATATCCGTTAGTGTTCTGTGCCAAATGAAGTGTCAGCTGAGTGCTCTGTGTCAGGCAGTGTCTGCTGCTGGAACCTTCCACTACCTGATGTGCATTAATTTAAAGCACGATCAGTCATCACATATAGTGACCAGATTTGTAAGTCTTGATTTTGGTCACTGAAAAAATCTCTTATGTGGTGGCATACACAGAGGGGTAAGGCTGAAAAAAATCTGTTTTATAACTTGTGCTTCCTTCCTGCGAAGGACTCAAGTATCTTTCTCTGCTGTTGAACAGATTTGCTCACTTCTTAAGGCTGGTAGAAGTTCTGCCCAACAGCAGATTTATAGGCTGGGCAATTATATGGCTTACAAATGGAGGAAATGATGATGGGGTTAGGTGAAAGCTCAGAAGCACTAAGTGGTGTAGTCTTGGTGCAAGGGGTTTTGTGTTGTGTATCTTAATGCACTAACTGATGCTGCTGTTAAATAGGTGTTTAAAGTAAAAGCGTTGCCACTAACTTCCCAAATGCAATTAACTCTTTCTAGGTTGGAGTACAGATTTTCACTAAACGGCCTTTGGAAGAGCAGGAAAAAAACAACATTAATCCAGATGATATCATCAGTTGCCTTAACAAATACCCTAAGTCACTTGTTAGATATCTAGAACATTTAGTATTGGAAAGAAAAATAGAGGTAAGTCCTCCAAGAATAAAAAGCATAAGTTTCACAGCGCAAATTGCGGTCATTTGAAAAATGCCAATGTTTAGAAGAAAGTAGTATAACTTCAATACCTTTAGATACACTCCTGATAGCTTAAGCTTATTCTCAAAAATCACTTCTTCCCTACAAGATCTGGATTTGAGATTACATTCTGTTACTAACTTTTCAACTTGAAAATGATGGTAAGGCAGGAATTGATGGTTCATTAGCTCCTCAGAGTTCTTCCATACCACTATTGCATGCTTTGGTTTAAATTACAGTCTGTTTTGAGACTGAAGTTAGAGTATCTCCGTGATGCCTTGTTACTCAGTTACACTTAACGAACTGTAAATCCTCAAGTAGGGAGCTGATTAACACAAAACTTGGTAAGCCACCTACAAAAT